ATTCAAAATTTATTTTGAAACTTTGAACCGAACCCCAAAACAGCAAAAAAATAACTAGGTACATCAAGCACTAAAGATAAATGCACTGAAAAGATCTGAAAGATACGGTGCTATGATGGCTAGGCAAATCTTTCGAGGAAAGACAAAATGATCGAACGGGAATAGTTGCTCACTACTTTAACTATAATGATGGTAACATGGTATGATGACAGACTGAAAAACATGGGAGAGCAAACAATACACGTACATATGAACTAAGATACATATGAACGAGTGGAAATACAAGAGAGACAAGAGGCAACACAGAACGAATGTAAACTATTGTGAGATGTTGCTCAGAATATAGCTAATTGAATGACCATGTAAAACAACAAAATAAAGAGAACATGTAAAACCACAGAATAAAGAGACGGGCATACAAGCAAACAACCTCGAGAACAACAAACTGAAACATACTGAACAACATGAAGAACACAAATGAAGAAAAAATACAACTCATATTAGATCAGAGATATCTATCGCGACTAAGCACCTAATGTAAACCACAAAAAGGAATGTGGTAGTATAGCATGCACAAGTGGTGCTCGATGGCGATAGATGATTTGGTAGACCAGTTCGCCCTTTTGCAAAAGGACTATGTCTAGTTGGAGGGACTGGTGATTGAAGACAAGAGAAAACCTCTCTCCGTCCTATTCTCCTTCACCTCAAAGCTGGCCAAACTCGGGTTGATTTCACTCGTGGTAGATACTTGTCAGCGATCTCCAAACCTTTGACAGACTTCTTCACGAACCATAATTACTCTTGATTGCTGAAGACTTTGTTTGGTGAAGACAATTACTCTTTGACACTCAAGTCGACACCTATCCGTCTAGAGAGAATGCAACTATCAAGAGTAATAGTTACAAGAACTCTAACTCAGATCTACCGTGATGCTCAACCACTGTCTAAGTTTTGGCTCTTGATTTTCTCTCGGTGGATCTTAAACTCAAATCTCTCGAGAGGGGATGGTCAATCAATCTTCTCGGAATCTTAAGTGGAGCAACCAACATACAACGTTGGTGCGGGGTGGCTATTTATAGTTTCACCCTTCCTTGATGGGAAATGACAAAATTGGACACGCAGATCAGCCAATTGGTCGAACGACATGTTGCCGACGGTAGGATTTTGAGCATAATAGTAACATTCCTTGCGGAGCAATAAATGCTAACTCCTCGGTCCGAAGGATATATCATGTAGCACCAAAGAACATCGTCTTCTACTTACAAGTAATCATTCAGAGAACAAATAGATTTCTCTCAATCTTTCATAGGTTTCGGCTAAGTATCATAGCGGACCTAAGCTTCGAGAACCTATACCCCTCTTAATAGTACGGTGGTCCTATGACTCAAATAAGAGATAGAAGAACAACAAAAGAATGCTACGTCTTCATTTCGCCTTCCATCTTCTCGATTGCAGTCATTCTTCCTCGGACAAACTGAACAAATATTGCTTTGCGTTAGCAATAATCTTAAGGGGTCAATTCCTTCACTAGAATCTTCTCGCTCTCATTACTTCTGGAAATGTAGCTCTGCCTTCTCTCCCACACAGACAATCTTCGGTGAAGTTCTTCAAACTTTAACACTGGACATAGTATTCTCCTCGGACTTGCATGGACTATTTCTCTCTATGTGCGCTAGTAAAAAAACCAGTCCATGCTTGTTTCTGTCAACAATCTCCAAAACACAAGGAGGCAAATTATTGCACCAACAATTAGTTACTCATGCTTGCCTTACATTTGACACAAAATCATAGAAGTGATAAACCTTACCTTTCTTTGTTCTAAAATAAGAAAATATAAACCTCATATGTCCTTTGGTAAACCATAGAGCCTTTGCTTTCCTAGCAACTGTGATAGCCATTTGTTGTGCTTCGTTTGAAAGTATCTATTTTTACACTTTTCTTGCTTGCATAATTAATTTTTTATCTATTTTATTTTTGTTGATACAAATGTGACCATTCCACGTAGAGGAAATATCAAGGAGATTACAAACAAAATGGAAACATGTCTAGTTGGTGTGTGATTGGGGACGAAGATAGCGCATGACAACCCAAGTAAAGCAAAGCAAAAAACTATTGTGTCATGATTTTCATTTTCATCTGTCCATGATGTGCATGATTGCTCACATATGTATGACATGAGAACACCGATAAGGATGAAATAACGTGTCACGAGCTTCTTTCCACGTCAATATCCGATGGTGCACGGCTAATGACACAAACATGACAATCTCTTAAAAGGTAAACCGTCACGTGAGAGCATAAACGGTGTGAAAACATTGTTAATTACGCATGCTTGCCTTACATTTAACACAAAATCGTACAAGTGATAAACCTTACATTTTTTGTTTTTAGTAAAATATAAACCTCATATGTCCTTGATTGAACCATAGAGCCTTTACTTTCCTAGCAACCACAAGAACCATTGTTGTGGTGCATTTGGAAGTATCTATTTTACATTTTTCTTGCTTGCATAGTTAGTAAAAATATGTATCTATTTATTTTGGGTTGGTACAAATGTGACCATTCCATAGAGGAGAAATATCAAGGAGATCAAGGACAAAATTAAAATGTCAAATTGGTGTTAGATGGGAGACGAAGATAGTGCATGACAACCCAAATAAGCAAAGAAAGAACCATTGCCTCACGATTTTAATTTTCATTTCTAGATATGTCTGTGTTCACTTCAGTGATGTGCACGATGACACACGTATGGCGTGGGGATACCGATAAGGATGAAATATCATGGCACGAGATTCTTTCCATGTCGATATCCGATGACGTGCATGGCTAATGATACAAACACGACAAACCATAAAAGGTAATTCGTCATGTAAAGACACAAGCATCATCGCACTGCATCAACAAAGAAAGGGCATGCGTATATTTCATGCGATCAAACCGCACATCCACACTCCACGCCATCCAACGATAAACACTAGCTCCTTCGAAAGAATATCTGAAAATGCACCAAACCCATAAAAAAGAAAATAAGATAAAATCAGGTGCTAACTCTTAGTCATTTGAAATTTGCATGTATGTTGGTCTCCTAAATATAACCTCACATATCTTTCGATATACCATAGAGCATTTGCTTTTCTAGCAACCGCCAAAACCGTTTGTTGTAGTGCGTTTGGTAGTATCTATTTTTACATTTTCCTCGCTTGCGTAGTTTAAAAAATATTTATCTATTTTTATTTGGGGTTGATGCAAGTGTGATCATCCCACATAAAGGAAGTATCAAGGAGATCACGGACAAAAAAATCATGTCTAAATTGGCGTGCGACGGGGGACGAAGATAGCGCATGACAACCCAAGTAAAGCAAAGCAAAAAACCATTACGTCACGATTTCCATTTTCATCATTAGATCTGTTTGTGTTCACTTCAGTAATATGCATAACTGCTCACACTCATATGATGCGAGGACACCGGTGAGGTTGAAATATCATGGTGTGGGCTTCTTTCCATGTCGATATCCGATGACGTGCACGACTAATAACATAAACATGACAAACCATAAAAGGTAAACCTGCATGTAAAGATACAAGCATCATCGCACCACATCGACGAAGTAAGGGCACGCATGTATTTCATGCAATCAAACCGCACATCCACACTCCACGCCATCCCACGATAAACACTAGCTCCTTCGAAAGAATATCCGAAAACATACCGAACCCCTCAAAAAATAAAACAAAATCAAATTAGGTGCTAACTCTTAGTCATTTGAAATTTGCATGTACGTTGATCTCCTAAATATGAACCTTACATGTCCTTGTGTAAATCATAGAGCCTTTGCTTTCCTGGCAACTGCCAAAACCGTTTGTTGTAGTGATTTTTACATTTTCCTCGCTTGCATAGTTTTTAAGAATATTTATCTATTTTTATTCTAGGCTGATACAAATGTGATCATCCCACATAAAGGAAATATCAAGGAGATCGCAGACAAAATAAAATCATCTCTAAATTGACGTCGGATGGGGGACGAAGATAGCGCATGACAATCAAGTAAAGCAAAGCAAAAAACCATTTTGTCATGATTTCCATTTTTATCTTTAGATCTGTTTGCGTTCAATACAACGATGTGCATAACTGCTCACACTCATATGATGTCAGGACATCAATAAGGATGAAATATCGTGGCACGGGCTTCTTTCCACGTCAATATACGATGACGTGCACGGCTAATGACACAAACACGACAAACCCTAAAAGATAAACCGTCACGTAAAGACACAAGCATCATCGCACTGCATCGATGGAGCAAGGACATGCGTGTATTTCATGCGATCAAACCGCACGTCCACACTTCACGCCATCCCACGAGAAACACTATCTCCTTCGAAAGAATAACAGAAAACATACCAAACCCATACAAAATAAAATAAAATCAGGTCCTAACTCTTTAGCCATTTGAAATTTGCATGTCCCTTCGCCCCCTAAATTTGACAGTCAGGGGAGTGATATTCTTTTCTTGAGAATAAATGTTACCGTGATCTTACCGTAGAGATACTACTAGATAGTTTAGGTATCCATCCACGTGTGCTTAGAAAGTGATTGAGATCGACTTTTTGCATCTCAGGGACAACTTTTGTCGACGATAGAAAAAGGAAAAAAAGAAAGAGTAGAAATCTAATCGCAACACCCTCCAAATCTACTCATCTCCACTGCCCCTATATAAACTGAAAAGGAAAGGAAAGAAAGGCAAAGGGGCCTATTTAAGAAGACCTGAAATGGGCAAATCGCATCTCGTCCCCCCCGCATTAATCTAACCGGATCACAAATCAAACCAACCCACACCTCTCTCTGCCTGCCCATTTCCTCCTCTCTCCCTCTTCCTCCCCTCGCCGTGGGCTCCACCCGTCAGCCTACCGCGTAGTAGAGACTAGAGAGAGAGCGACAAGGGAGGGAGGGGGGCTAGCAGCTACAGAGAGAGAGAAGGAAAGGGCGCCGGAGGAAGGAGATGGGAGAGGAGAGGAAGGCAGGGGAGCAGGCGGCGGAGGCGGCAGCGCGCGCGGCGGAGCAGGCGCGGGAGCTGCAGGACGCCACCGCCGCGCTGCTCTCGCGGACGTGGGCGGAGGAGGAGGCGCTGCGCCGCCGCGCCGCCGCGCTCAGGGAGGACCTCGCCCGCCTGCGCAAGGCCGCCGCCAACGCACAAACCGAAAAGGTAACCAACCTTGCTGCTCCCAGGCTGCCGCGCGGCTCCCCCTCCTCCTTCTCCAAGTGCGCGTGCGTGCGTGCGTTGCGTGCGCGTGGGCGTGTCGGCGGGTCGCCGAGGAGATCGCCGCGCGGGTGTTTGCTGCGCCTAGGACTCCCAGCGCGGCTAGCTCGGCTCCGCGCCGCTGCGCTGCGCTGCTTCCCCGCGCCGGATCACTCGCTGAGGAAGATCTACGTGCGTGCGTGGAACTGCAGTTTGGTGCGCTGTGGAAATCTCAACTTCCCGCACTGCCAAGACGTACCCGTGGACAGGGACCCTGGACCCTGTCTCTGAATCACCGCGCCATTATATGCGTTTGACGCTGCTGGTTCATTGATCGTCACAATGTGCATGCAGCATACTTTTCTTCTGCTGATGTGACTGTGGCCTCTTTGTGTGCTTGTGGCAGGTCCACGAGGACTTGGATCGAGCGTCATGCCTCATAAGTGATGGTGACATTGCGACGATTCTCCCTAACAAGGCGCATGGTGATTGCTGCTCTTCTTCAGCTTGAGCTTGTTATTCATTTTTGTCATATTCATATATACCTCTCTCTTTTCTGAGGTTCTGTTCTTCTAATATTTTTCTGTCTTGGGGGTTTACAGGCACTTTTTTGAAGCTGTTATTGGGACCAGTGAATCTCCGCGCAAGGAAGGAGGTACAGCTCAAGGTGAAGGAGGAATACAATAGCTACAGGGTATGTGTAAAATTGTGTTATCATTGCTGAAAATCTAGGCCGCTATTCTTATTTTGAAATGAGGGCTTAGCATGATGCTGGCTGCAAGTGTGTTTGAGCCACCAATACATAAACAGCTTTGAAATTTAGTTTTCCATTTGATCCGAGTACTCTTTTAGGGGGAATACTATCCTTTAAACCTTCTACAAAGTGAAAGATGTACCTGCTGAGCAATGTCTGAGTTGTTTTGCAGATATAGATGTTAGATTTGTGGAGAACCGTGTACTGATATAGATAATAATCATTAGCTGGTAATACTTTACACTTGTTAATCTTTATTCCTCTTTTTTTTTCAGGATAGGACTGCCATAGTGTTTCTTGGTTTTCCGATGATTCTGTTGTTTCTTCGGTCATGGCTATGGAATGGATGCTTTCCAGCATTGCCAGTTCAGCTATATCAGGTATGCTCTGATGCTCGTTCAGGTAATCTGGTAACAATATGAACTGATGCTATGTTCTGAAAGATAAACTGACAGGTCAACTTATCTTATGTTTAACAGGCCTGGCTGTTACTCCTCTATACAACTTTAGCTTTGCGAGAGAACATATTGCGAGTTAATGGAAGTGATATCCGTCCTTGGTAAGGAACAATCACTAACTACTGTGGATCCATTGTTTTTTCTTAATGGTGATTCATTGCATTTTAGTATTGACCACTATTTTCATCTCTCATTTGATGCTTTGCCTTACCTGACTAAAAGATAACAACAATTCTATTCTTCAATACCTGTTTATCCACCTCTGACATGTTGCTTGCTGGCCTTCACTTGTTATGATTTTGTCTGTTCTTTTTAAAGTCATTAACTCATTATCCATATAAGGACCAGTAATGTTAGTTCTTTTTGGTGCATTTGGCACTTAACAAAAGTTCATTTTATTCTTAAGGTGGGTATGCCATCACTATTGTGCCATGCTGATGGCTCTGGTGAGCCTCACATGGGGGATTAAGGGACAACCTGATTGTGCCCGCAAACAGGTATGCTTATAGATCTTTCTCTTCTGTTCCAAACACGGAAGCATGTGCTTAGCCTGTGCTCTTTTTGCAGAGAGGTGTCGAGTTATTTCTGTGCTGGGCTGTGATGCAAGGTTTTGCCATGATGTTGCAGAACAGATATCAACGTCAAAGACTATATACTCGAATTGCTTTGGGGAAGGTAATACATTTTGATAGAGAAGGGCAAAAAACTGGTTCTTTCTGTATTCACTCTGGTAGCTCTAGCCTATTATTTTCCTTATCAGTACCTCCTTTTGTGAATAACTTCACGATTTTTATGAACTTTATTCAACTGAAATTATCTTTGCACCATCTATCTTGTCGCATGGCATGTTTAGGCACCATATGACTCTTCTACTACATCCATTTACCGGTGCAATCATCTGCTGAAACTTTAGTCGAAGTAGTTTTCTTTAACTTGAATATTTCTTTCCGGCAGGCTAAAAGGATGGACGTCGTGTGGGGCGAGACTGCTGGTGTTGAAGGCCAACTATTGCTGTTGTGTCCCATCCTTTTTCTCTTGCAGGTATGCTGTTATCTTTAAGCCTTTGACCAACAATTACTCTGTTAGTATATACTTTATTTGGCATAAAATTGATGTCATTAGATTCGTACTCAAAAGTACTTGTGTGAGTTGTGGTTATGGTTTTGTATCACATAAATCTCTTCTCTCCTACTTAAAAAACACATAAGGTTTTGTCGTCCGCTCGTCCTTCGTCCAACCTTACATACGTTCCCCCTCCTCTTCCTATTTTGATTTATCCCCTCCCATCTCATGGTTTTTCCATCGTTATTTCCTAAAAATTGCCTCAACTGCCCCACTTCTTATTGGCTTGCCAAATAAAAATCTGTTTTCTTGGGTAAGCTAATAAATACTTACCAAATAAGTGCTTATCAAATTAAATCCTATTTTTTCATACAATCACATTAATATGGACAGGTAGATCATAGGCTAACCTACTAGCATGTTTATGCTCCCATTATAACGCATGGGCAATTATCTAGTTACATACTAATAGTATAAGTGTTGGTCAAATGCTCGTCTTACGAAACAAAATACACCCAAGGGGTGGGAGAAGAAAGGGAAGTAGTGAGTAATGTAATCTGGAATGTAGGGAGTATTAAATATGCAAATATCAACCCAAGCTCATGAAGGACAGATTAGTTTTGTCTTCATAGTTCACATTTGATCTTGGCATGATGTGCTAAATTTTCCTGTTTACCTGTTTGAATAATAGTATCAGGTCATTTATCTAGATCCTGTTTTACCTGTTTGAACAATAGTATCAGGTCATTTATCTAGATTGGTTTTTCTGTGCGATCAAGTGAGCATTCTCGCCTCATAACATCGAGTTATAATATTTCTCTCACAAATGTACAACGCCCGAGGCAATTATCTTGACTTCCCTTCTATTTATAGGTCTTTGAGGGTTATGTTGGATTTTTACTTCTTCGGACAGCTCATAAAGGGATCATTCCTGAGTGGCAGGTAAGGAACTTCTAGCTATTGATGCAACCAGGATTTATCATATTGGACCCATTTTATAACCTATGCATGCTGTCACAGGTTGTGGTGTGTGGGATCCTGCTTATTGCAATGGCAATTGGCAACTTTGCAAACACAGTGGACACATTGATGGTTAAGTCCAGATTCAAAGCAAAGATGAAGAAGTCCAAGAGCAAACGAGATCTTGCTGCATGCACGTCACCGACTCGCTCATCGCTGACAAATTCGGCAGCTGGAGCTTGAAATGGAGACGTTCTCATCATATGAACATTGCCCATATTCAATCAGGGGCTGTCAAAATTGTAAAGTATTAGTTTTTTTGGCCACCAGCTCCTTGTGCTGACAGTCTCTGTCAAAGCTCATACCCATGTAATCATCAAACGACTCGGTTGCTGATGGTGTCAGGTTGAGGGTAACTAAGAATAAACTGTTCATGTTTGTTTATTTATTTTTATTATGGACATCGAGTGGGCTAGATGAACTTAGGACTGTAAGGGGTAGTTAATTTTTTTCCTGGTATAGGATAGTTATTTGCGAGACTTAGATTGTCAAAATCAAACATGCAAATTTGTATACAAACTGTGACCCTGCCAATTTCTTTCTCCCTGAGACCGTGAGGTTTTTTCTTGTTGATAAGCTCTGGTACCGGTCTCTGGATTTAGTTGAATCGTCGGTCAATCCTGTGCCATGTTTGTCTAGAAGTTATGGATTGCAATAGATAGCTCAAGATGGCACCACCACTCTTGAAAAATCATCCATGGGTGCATTTTCTCATTTTAAGCTGGCGATCAACTGAAATCAGAGAACAGGTTTGCTCAAAAGTCATGTGCATTCCTAGCACAAATATAGGTATATATTAGATGGTGGTTCACTCTTGTCCTCTTTTAGTTGATTTCATTTAGTTTATTTAGATGATTTCATTTTGTCTTTAGTTGAGAGAATTGGACGAAGAGTTGTTTAAATTTGAGATGTTGGCGTGAACCAATTGGCAACATTATCCACATTTTGATCTGAGGTTGCATGTATATTTTCCGCTTCATTAAAATGGTTATTATACTCGAGAGTTGGTTGAGGTCCCACAAAGTTGGAAGCTCTGCAAATCCTAGCGTGCCACCGCTGTGACCAGACAAATTGATCACAATGGGATTTCACTTGCCAATGTGAACATAACGGAGCTTTGTTATCTCTATCTTGGGAGTTTTAGTGAAATGTACATGGAGTAAGAGCAACTTCAACGGAGCGATTCATTTCGTCCGCAGCCGTTCGTTTGGGTCAGCGTGAACAGAAAAGACGACCCAACGCGCCGACTCAAACGGACGCGCGCCCGTTTTTCGTCCGCGGGCGACCCATTCCCGGTCCATTTTTGAGCTTGATTTACGTCGGCGCAGACACGCGACGAACGCGCGCGCTCGCCTACTCCTGTCCTCGGGCCCGCTGGTCTGTGGCACATTGGCCTCCCCTCTCACCCTCCTTCCCCCGACCAACAAGCAACCCTCGCCCCGCCTCCTCCGTCACCGACGCCGCCGCCCATTTTTGTTGGCGACTCTTCCAGCTGCCGCCGCCTCCACATCCGCCCAGCACGCCGTCCCTGCCCCTAGTCGCCCGCCGCCGCCGTTTTGCCGCCGGGGAGCAAACTGGTTCCCGTCGCCGCTTCCCCCACCGCACAACGGTCACAACTACGACAAAGGGTACTATTTGGGTGACGGTATCTATCCTCAGTGGACCATTATTGTCAAGACAATACCCAACCCTGTCGGAGAGAAAAGGAAAAGATTTGCCCGAGAGCAAGAGAGTACTAGAAAGGATGGCGAGCGTGCCTTTAGTGTTTTGCAATCTCGATGGGGCATCGTTCGGTATCCTGCTAATACTTGAAGCACGCAGGAACTATGGAAGGTGATGATTGCTTGTGTGATCATGCACAGTATGATAGTAGAAGACGAGCACCCGGAACGTCTGTACGATCAAGGCTTTCAGTTTCAGGGCGAGAATGTTGTGCCTGAGCATGGAGTAGCGGCAACATTTAAGCAGTTCACTGAGTTTCATGAAGACATGCATGATTGGGAAACTCACGTGCAACTGCAAAATGATTTGGTTGAGCATATGTGGACTCATGTTGACAACCAATAGATGTATCTTCTTTTATTCGTTTGCAAAACTATGTGAAACATTTTTATTTGTATTTGGCTTGTAAAACTATACTATTTTATTGGGCGGCTAAACTATTTTACTTGTTATTTCATTTCACAATATGTTTGAATGCAAATCAATGTAAAATTGGGCGGCCAGCCGGCCACGCCTGCACATATGGGTCGGCGTGTTGGGCGTGCTACCGACGCATATGAAAAACAGGGTGGACGCCGGGCGGGCGGACGACCCAAACGGACAAAAAACGGACGAAATCGCCGTCCGTTTGGGTCGGCCCGTTGGAGTTGCTCTAATGGTGCATAAAAATAAGATACAGTTTCTCATAGTCTACATTTAGTTGTGGTCCATTGAGCTAACCTTGCTTATTTTGCAATGATGCTAGATTATGCAATCAAACAAATTTTGTGCATATATATAAAAAATATAAAAAAGACATGATGTTCAAAGGCCACTTTAAACAGACAATCAGAATAATGAATAAAATTAAGCTTAACATTACATCTGCATTGTACTTCCATGCCAAGAAGAAAAGGAAGCCTCGCTTTTCCTGGAATATACACTTGCCCGTCAATGGGGGCCTACAAACCTGGAGTTCATCTGCAGATCTACAACCTTAAGAGAATGGGTGAAAATAATGGCAGAAGACACATTTTTACAGTGCAACAATACTTTGTTAACCACTTAATTTAATGGGTACATAGTAGTATTGCTCGGAACTGTCAGCACGACTTCTGGATGAGTCACAAACCTACTTCTATGTTCTGGGATGCCGGCCAAGCAACCGGCCTTGTACTGGGAGCAGAGAGCACTGCCATTCTGGTTGGCCTTCCGCCTGAAGAAGCTCGCCGTCGACACCACAACCACTGTGGGTACTGCCCACTGGCCTAACCTTTACTTGTTTTACCTGCAAGAAATGGTCGCAAAATCGAGTGTCAAAGATCGACAAAGGTAATTATTACTCAGCTCGGCAATCTACAAAGTGAGGCCGTAGAGTGAGTGGAGTCATGAGATGCAATTAATTTTAAGAACACAAAAACTAGCTCTAGGTCCAGATTCAAGATGCCTGTCTGAAACAGCCATTACAAGCCAAGTGAAAGAGGTGGTTAGATTTAATTGGGGGAGAATGATACAAAAGTTTCAATACCTTGACATATTCCACAAAAGGGAGTAGAAGATGCCAGCAAAACTGATAGGCAACAAAAAAGCAAAATAATCTGAGTCTTCCACTTCCATGTACAAGAATCAAGTCCAGACTGCCATCATCATGCTGAGCTTTTGGTGCAACAAGTGGAGAAAATAACCCCTGGGCAGGCTTGCAGAAGTGGTTGCAGACCAAAATGCCAAGAAACTCCCCTTTCCTCGTAACCCAATTATCTCCACTGCTACGATCCATATAAGTACCACTCTTAACCTTGCTGTCATCAGAAAGCTGGCCATGGCATTTTTCAATCGGTGACTCCAAGTTAGGAATTGTCTCTGGTGATAAAGGCAGATAATCCACCTCAAATTTGTATTGGGGCAGGGACAAAAACTTAAGAATGCCAGCGATGACGTAACGGAAGGGCCCAAGCTGCAGGCGGAAGTTTTCAGATAATTGCAGAACTGTAAAAAAAAGAGAGAATAAATTCGAGATTATAAGGTGACTAAAAACATGTCATAGCTATGGGTATGTAAAACAGAAGACAGGATGCATTAGTGCAGTAAAATCACACCAATCTGGAACTGTGGCCTAGTGGGTATTATCGTCAACCAATAAGAGGTAACTAGCATGAGTGGATCTTTAAAAGCAAATTAATCTGATATCTTCTTCTATGTCATCAAAATCATAAAGTAATTTAATCTTGTTCCTATTCTCAAGGATACAAACAGAAGTGTTCAGAAGAACATTTCAAGTTCTCAAATATCTAGATAAGAACCATGAGCATTTCTGTAATCCCACATAGTTAGCAAGATCATAGTAGAAGTTCTGTCATTCCTTCTCGCTCTTGCTGTTGTTTTGTATTATATATGATCTCCAAACATCACAAACAAAGTCTCTTCTATTCATAGTTTTTACCAACAGCCAAACCAAATAAGAACAAAATATAACTTTGTTGCCGAAGACAATACCTTCCACAAGGTTGTCTAACTAGGTTATAATACCAAGTTTTAACACAGACTAGCATCATTAGAATCAGCTATGCAATAAGAGTCAATCATCACATGCACCACTACAGAGCTACACGGACAGAAGAAGTAAACTTACCATCAGCTACAAAACCACAGTAGGAAGCCGTCAAACCGAAATGAGTAACTCCAGCTTGGATCCATTTTACAGCAAACACATCAATCGGTGTGAAACCACCCTACAGAAATATGAACTTACATATTAATATGCAGAGTCACATGTAAAATATGACAACAACACACCACCTTAGTATGTCAAATTGTCAACAGAACTCATGAAGAAAATTATCACTTTCAACATAACATCACAAAATTACCTTAGCTAAAGCAGTTGCTGCTGACACAGGATCCCTGATGCCAAGAACACTCCATACTAATGAATTATCGGAACCAGCAGGAACTATCCCAATAGGAAGTTGAAGCGCCTCTTTCAAATCGTCTCTACCAAGTAAACCATTCACAACCTGTTTAATGTATGGAAATATGTAGTTAGCAGAATGGGTACTGATGCTTCTATTTGTATATAAATAATTTGACAGGCCTGAAATACATGACAGTGGTGTGTTGTTGTCCAAAACAAGTACAAGGTGTGGACAAGTATGAGTGCTACGCAGTTCAAAGTTCAAACTTCAAACTTCAAATAATAACCGATGGAGATCAGCAGAAAGTGAAACAGGTTACCAGCTCAGTCAAGTAGAAACATATGAAAGGAGATGAAACAATACCTCATTTACGACTCCATCACCCCCAACACAGATAATGCCTGTAACGAATGGAAACATCAGTGAATTGATCAATGAAACGAAAGCACAATTGCAAAAACAGATACGCGGTTCATATTACCACCAGGGCATGTACTGAGGTCAACAGTAGAAGCAAGCACCTTTGCATGACCAGCATACGCTGTTTCAACAACCTCCATCGCGAAGCCTGAAAGCTGCACCAGATCAAAATTCAAACTCAAAAGCACTCAGGTAGCAAAATATATATTTTAACAGGCATATGCGGCCAATTAAAAACAGAAGGAATTTTTTGCTGCTGTCTTGTGTAAATTAAGTATTTCACAGAACTAAGTAGAGGCAATACACTCTCAATGGATAATGACAGAAACTAAAACGATCAGTAGCATGAAACTGAAAGGGATCTTTTTTGGTAGTTGAAACCAACATAAACATTTTCACTTATAGCAAAACTAGGAACATCTTACCTTCAGTGTTGATTGCACTTTCTTGTAGAAAACCTCGCGAGAGCTACGGAATCCAGAATTAGGATTCAGGATGACAAGGACTTTACGAATATTGTTTTGTTTCGCATTTGATTGGTCTTGCAAAACATTAAGTCCTAAATAGCTGGGAAGTTGCTCTGTGTAAGTGGTACTAAGGTCAGAGCAACAGTTTGATACAGTCCGCCTCTGGATGAGAAGGGTGGTCTGCAATCGAGTAGATTTCCATAATTTGCGAGGCAAAAGCATCTGGCCAGCTTGCGGTGTTTGTAGCTTCATGGTATTAGAATACTGATAGTAGCTTCTTGGGCAGCGTGAATTGTAGGAAAAGCATTCGTTTACAGCACTACAGGATACCTGCAATATGATGATACATACATAATATGAGAGCAAGATCTAAAGTCAACAGCATGCTCAAAAAGGAGTATTTCCATGCTCATGTCAAGATGAAAACTTAATGCAGCACCCACGTAGCAGTACCCTAATATGTTTTAATAAGATGCTACATTAGTCTTAGTGAAGTATTTCCCACCACAGCACTATGAATCAATACTCCCTCTGATCCAAATTAATTGACGCGACTTTAGTACAACTTTGTACTAGCTGCGTCAATTAATTTGGATCAGAGATAGTACTATACTTGTTTAGAAAGGAAAACAATGTAATGCTACGATGCATAGAAAAACAATGTAAAATTCAGCAGGAGAAAAGTTTGTGACCATATCAAACTCTCCATTTGTAATGAAAACTTGAAAATTCGTGGTTACACGACAATGATCCAGCTTCATTTAAGATTTAACCCAGGGAGAGGAAAGAAAGCCAGCAACTAGACACAAGAAACAGATCTCAGAGCTAGTGGTAGAAAGTCTGGCAAATGAATCACATTCCACATGCAAAATCACGAGTTAACTACCCAAAATGCAGAGCAGAACAGTAGGAGAGGAGAATTTTTTTTAAAAGAAAACTTGAACTACCCCTCCTTTTCTTCCCCCGTTCTTGGCAACCTCGAGAAAGCAAGGACATTTTCACTCATCTGCACGCTCCAGTTCCTACTCAGAAACTAAATAAATCCTAAAAGACAGCTACGCCTAGGAGATACAACAAGGAACAGACTTAGGGAAGCGGGAGGAAGGTTTTACCGGGGATCGGACGAGGCTTCTGGAGCTCATGATCAATCTGGACGCGAGGCAACAGCCCACAGCTCCAGATCAAGAAGCACCTCTCAAGCCTCAAGTTAACGGAGGGAGGGGCCGCGGCGGTGCTGGGGACTCAGCGGCGAGCGGCGGCGACGGAGAGGAGAGGGGAGAGGGGGATCGCGGAGGAGAGGGGAAGCACGGGGTGTTTATTTCGTGCCCCTTTCCTTTTGTTCGTTTGTTTTCTCCTGCCGACGATTAGCGGCCGTTGGATGAGGAAGATGGATGAATAAGACTACGATGGTTTGATTCTTTGGATGAGTGGATGTACTGTGTAGGAGAGCGATTTGGTTCATGTGGGTTTGGACTCGTGCACGTTGTCCAACGCTTAATCAGTGAGAACATATCTTCTTATTCTTTTTCAAGAACTTCCAATTTGCTCGTCAATCCTCGTGGTAGTACAAAGAACACCATAAATAGTAATAATTACATCAGGTCTATTGATCATCTAGCGACAAATACAAGCACTGAAGCGATCAAAAATCACACCGGCGTCATCGCCTCTCCTTCATCGAAGCCTGGCAAAACTTGTTGTCGTAGACAATTGGGAAGTTGTCGTGCTTATGTCCCATAAGACCAGCGCATTAGAACAGCAACCGTCACCGATGAAGAAAAGTGTAGATCGGAAAAATCCAACATGTAAACACACGAACGTATACGCACCAAGACGGATCCATGGAGATCCACTGAAGATCAGCACCGACTAAATCCCACGAGATCCGCTGGAGAGACACCTTCACATGTCTTCTGACGATGTTGTACGAATCACCGGAACAAAGACTAGGCGGGGTGACTTTATTTCAACTATAGGGAGCTACCATCGTCTCGCTTTCCTAAGCATTACACAAATTCTAATGAACCTTATAGAAAGACCTAAAAATAGAGCAGGAGCCCTCTCACCGGCAGAGGTTGAGGTCCACCGTGCCTTCATGGACCTAAGGCCACCGGAGACAAGGCGAAGACCCTCGTCTTGAGAGGAGTCGGTCGCTATTTTATTATAATATACACACTAGGCTTTTCTGAAGAACTTAAAATAGTGAAAGTGTAACTATCCCTGGGTGGTTTTGGTAATTCCTAACAACATATAGCCCATTGAGCTAATGCTACTTCAAGATAAACATTTCAGGACAACTCAATGATTGGCATGGCATGGATGAGAAATGTGGATCCCTCAAAATGCCAAGGACAAAGGATTGGCTCAAACTCAAAGCTCAGGACTCTACATTTTTTCATTTTAAGTGATTCAAGATCATATTGAGTCCACAGGAAAAGCCAATACTATCAAGAGGGGGTGAGGTGTTGGTTAATGAGTTTCTTGGTCAAAGTGTTTAGTAATATGCTCCAAAAACCCTCAACTACTTTCTCACATCCACATATGTCCTAAACCAAAAGTCAAACTCGGCCCCACCGAATCTGTCTATCCGGCGCCACCGAGTTCAGTTGACATAGCCACTACCAGAAACCCTAGTCTTTTCGGTCTTACCGATAGGGATCTCGGTCTCACCAAGATGGGATTGTAATCTCTTTGTTTCCCTTCGTAACGTTTCGGTCAAACCGAGATGAGCGATCGGTCCCACCGAGATTGCAATGCAAACTCTCTGTTTCCCTATCGTAACGTTTCGGTACAACCGAGATGAGCGAATCGGTCCCACCGAGTTTGCCTGACCAACTCTCTGTTTGTCTATTACCAAAATCGGTCCCAGCGAGTTTGTGTAATCGGTCTCACCAAGATTACGTTAAATCCCTAACCCTAACGAAATCGGTCTCACTGAGTTGACATGTCGGTCCCACCGAAAATTCTAATGGTCACATAATGAACTAAATCGGTCTGACCGAGTTTCACGATTCGGTCCCACCGAGTTTGATAAATTGTGTGTAATGGTTAGATATTGTGTGGAGGCTATATATACCCCTCCACCCACTCTTCATTCAAGGAGAGAGCCATCAAAACATGCCTACACTTCCAATATACATTTTTTGAGAGAGAACCACCTACACTTGTGTTGAGGTCAAGGTATTCCATTCCAACCACATAAATCTTGATCTCCATCCTTCCCCAAGTTGCTTTCCACTCAAATCATCTTTCCACCAAATCCTATCCTATGAGAGAGAGTTGACTGTTTGGGAGACTATCATTTGAAGCACAAGAGTAAGGAGTTCATCATCAACACACCATTTGTTACCTCTTGGAGAGTGGTGTCTCTTAGATTGGTTAGGTGTCACTTGAGAGCATCCGTCAAGATTGTGGAGTTGAACCAAGGAGTTTGTAAGGGCAAGGAGATCGTCTACTTCATGAAGATCTACCCTAGTGAGGCAAGTCCTTCGTGGGCGACGACCATGGTGGGATAGACAAGGTTGCTTCTTCGTGGACCCTTCATGGGTGGAGCCCTCCGTGGACTCACGCAACCGTTACCCTTCGTGGGTTGAAGTCTCCATCAACGTGGATGTATGATAGCACCACCTATCAGAACCACGCCAAAAATCTCCATGTCTACATTGAATTTGCTCCCTCCAAACTCCTCCCTTTACCTTCATATGCAATTGTTTTACTTTTTGCTGCTATACTCTTAGAATTGCATGTGTAGGTTGATTGCTTGACTTGTGTAAAGTTGCTAAAATCTGCCAAGAATTAAAATTGGGAAAAGGCTAGATTTTTATTTGGTCAAGTAGTCTAATCACCCCCCTCTAGACATACTTTCGATCCTACAAGTGGTATCAGAGCTTTGATCTCCATTTGCTTTGATTTTCATATCTTTTGCTGGTCATAGCCTTGATTTCACAACCTAGGAGAGTATGGAATCTAGCGAGGGAAATTACCACCGTAGAGGTCCTTACATTGATGGTACTAATTTTGCAAGTTGAAAGTATAAGATGAAAATGCATATTCTTGGACATAACCCCATCGTTTGGGCTATTGTGTGTATTGACTTGCAAGGTGAATTCTTTGATAGGAGAGAACCGAACCGTGAAGCTATCACGGAAGAGTTGAAGATGCTGCAATACAATGCTCAAGCTTGTGATATTCTCTTCAACGGATTGTGCCCCAAAGAATTCAACAAAATCAGCCGTCTTGAGAATGCAAAGGAAATTTGGGATACTTTGATTGATATGCATGAAGGTACCAACTCCATCAAGGAATCTAAATTGGATGTTCTTCAAAGTCAACTTGACAACTTCAAAATGAAGGATGGTGAAGGTGTCGCTGAAATGTACTCTAGGCTTGCTCTCATTACAAATGAGATTGCCGGCTTAGGAAGTGAAGAGATGACCGATAGATTCATCATTAAGAAGATCCTAAGAGCCTTGGATGGAAAATATGATACCTTGTGCACATTGATCCAAATGATGCCCAACTACAAAGATCTCAAGCCAACGGAAGTCATTGGAAGAATTGTTGCTCATGAGATGTCACTCAAGGATAAGGAAGATCTCCACAACAAGTCAAGTGGTGCCTACAAAGCCTCATGTGATGCTCCCACATCATCAAATGAGAAGCAAACATTTAATGAAGAATTGAGCCTAATGGTGAAGAACTTCAACAAGTTCTACAAGAGTAGAAGCAAGAAAAGAAGTTCCAAGTCAAGGTCCTACAATGACAAAAGATCTTCTAGCCGTGAGCGTAATTGCTACAATTGTGGAAGACTCGGACACTATTCAAATGAGTGTATGGCTCCTTACAAAAGAAGAGAAGATTCTCCCAAAAGAAGAAGTGGGAGAGAAGAATCACCACCAAGAGAGGGAAGGAGTAGAGATGATCGTTATGAACGAAGACCCTCTTGGAGAAGCAAGGATTCGGAGAGGAAAGACAAATCATCAAAGAGCTACACAAAAAGAAGACATCAAGCTCATGTTGGTGAATGGGTATCTGGCTCCGACTCCGACAATCACTCCGAAAGAAGCTATCACTCCGACTCCGAATATACTCAAGATGAAGGTGCTGCCGGTCTAGCACTTGTGTCAACTGACTTCTACGACATATTTGACTCACCAATGAAGGAATTGGAAGATGCTTCATGGCTAAAGGTCCAAAGGTAACACACCCCGAGTATGTTGATTTCAATAGTGATGACGATGATTTGCTAGGAGATGATGATTTACTTGTTGACAACTCTAGTTATGAAAACTATGATGAACTTGCTATTAATCATAATAATCAAGATAAAACGAATGACAATGATAAGAATAAGATTGAGCGTCTAACTAAAGAACTAAACACTCTTAAGTAGCTCATGAAACTACCTTGGAAGATCATCGAGAACTTTTAAAGACTCATGAGAAGCTACGCTTTGAAAAACTCAACCTTGAGCAAGAGCATGAGTTCTTAAAAGCAATCAATGATGATCTTCGCAAGAAAAGTTCTTCTTACATTGCCAAGCGTTTACTCTTCTCTACTTACATGCGACAAGTTAAAACTAGCAACAAGAGTAAGAAAGATTCTTCTTCTAGTAGTAGCAACAATCATGCTAAATCCATTATTGTTGCTTCTAGTAGTTCTCTTGATTCCACTAATGATTCTCTTAGCCAAGTTACACTTGAGCAAGAGAACAACTTATTGAAGGGAATTATAGAGAAAGGTGTTTACAAGAGCCTTGCCGGGAGTAAGCAATTCGAGGAAATTGTACGCAAGCAAGGAAGACACAGGAAGAATCAAGGTGCAGGTTTTGAACGAAAGTTCAATGCCAATGGAGTTGAGTGGGAAGAAGATCAATACCCCAAGTCGAAGTTTGTTCCTCAATAAGAGAAGTATGATCCTACTTCTTTCCAAGGAACACAAGCTCAAGATGATCCTCCACCACAAGACCACAAGCTAAAAGGCAAGGACATGCTTCAAGAGGAGATTGATGCATTTGAAGAAGCACCTAAGGCCTTGGTCAAGTGGGTTCCCAAGACTACATCAAGTTCTACTTCATTAAGTACGACTACAACTCCAAGGATTCCCATCAATATGGTGTGGATCCCGAAGAAGAAGAACTAGA